CAGCGGCCGGTGGGGAACGTTGGTGTCCTCTGTCACTGAGGCAAGCAAGCCTCATGTTAGTTTCAAGCTGCCTGGCTGCCGGCCGCCATCTTGGCTGACAGTTAATTTGCATATCTCGCTGATTAGCCAATGAAAAGGGTAGCAGTCGTACGCCAATTACCATGTTTCTCTTTTATTAGTGTAGATATACTTAGGTAAATAGCAATGAACTATTCATAACTGGATGTGAAACTTTAAATGAAATAGGTCAAGATGGCTTTTGTTCTTGCATATGAGAAGTGCACAATGACCATTATTTTAATGAATTAATAGTCTTTATAAATTTCTCTGCAATATGTAATCACACACTACAACCTAAGTTATCATACCATATGACGGAGGAAAAAACCTTTTTAAAAAATATACTTTTATTGATTTCAGAGAGGAAGCGGGGGGGGGGAGAGAGAAATATTAATGATGAGAGAGAATTATTGATTGTCTGCCTCCTGCATGCCCCCTATTGGGGAAAAAGCCCACATCCTGTGCATGTGCCCTTGACCAGAATCGAACCCTGGACCCCTTAGTGTCCAGGCCGATGCTCTATCCAATGAACCAAACCGGCTAGGGTTCATTATAGTAAGTTTAATCACCTAGTATTTTCTCCTTATCTTTAACAAATTTTTCCATTATAATTTATGTGGTTAAAGACACTCTAAGTCTATTTTCTTTCATTTTGCTCTTAAGGCAATGAAGAGCTACTGATTTTTATAATTTAAGAAAGAGCAAACAATGCAGATTTATTAATCTAACCTGAAACTCCCAATCATCAAGGTAATATCTTAGCCTAAATAATAAGGCCTTATTCATGAGTATTGATAGTTTTCTTCTGAACAAAAATTTTTTTTAATATATATTTTTATTGATTTCAGAGGGAGAGGAAGGGAGAGAGAGAGAGATAGAAACATCAAGGATGAGAGAGAATCATGGATTGGCTGCCTCCTGTAGGTCCCACACTGGGGATCTAGCCTGCAACCTGGGCATGTGACCCGACTGGGAATCAAACCGTTACCTCCTGGTTCATGGGTCCGTGCTAAACCACTGAGCCACACCAGCTGGGCCTGAATAAATTTCTTACTATTCCTTTCATTTCTACTTCCTGAAGTAGACAAAAATCCTTAAAAGTTCTGCTTTTTATGTAGACTGTAGTTGAAGTTCTGTTTTTATGTCAGAAATGTGATAACTTTTTATGTTTTGCTTTGAGGTTTGCTGAGTAATATGTATTTCTGCATTTTCATGCAGTTAGCTATTTGTTTGCCAATTTCAGTTTTTATAATTTTTTTAACCAAATTAAATACGTCTTTACTATGGGAAGTCTTACTATAAACTCCTTGCTATTGCAGTGAAATTGTTCCCTGGCATATTTGTATATTATATAGCTTTGTGATGTTATGGATGCTATAGCCTATAGAATAATGTGTTTTCATGTATCTGGATATCAAGGTTGTATCAAATTTAATTGTCAAGAATGTACACTTTTTATGAATTCATTTCATTTTGGATTGTGGCATTAATTTTTTAGTAAGGGTATAGTTTACATAAAATAAAGTTTTAGAATTCAGTATAGAATTTAGTAAGTTAAAAGTTTACCTAAAGAGATATGACCAGAGTTAAGGCTATCTATATATTAATGTTCAAACTACTGGTTCATTTTAAATAGCATATATATATGGAACTGTGTTATTTGCAAAGATTGATTACATGTTGTAGAAATCATAACCAGCTAAAAGACATTTATTTAAAATTTTCTCCACAAACTTTAAGTAATTTCATCTTTTATTTGTGATTGAGACTATATTTAGATCTACATTTCTTTATAATTATATTTTAATAATAATATTTTTATTTTAGACAGACTTGAGAACAATTGGCAAGAAATTCCTCCCCAGTGACATCAATGGTGGAAAGGTAGAAAAGGTAAAGAAAACGTTAACTTCCTACATTATGCAAACTGCTATAACTATGAAAGTCCACTAATTACTATAGTTAAGTTTTATCAGTAGAAACTGCAACTGCAAAATATTTTGGAGGCAAACAGGTCACAGAGTCATCATTACGGTGATTTCCTAAACATATGAAGAATTATTAGGACTTACACTTTTAACCTTTTTAAACATTAAAAAAAACCTTTTGTTTTAAGAATTATAACTATGGCACATTTGTGTATGAGATTTGCTAGATATTATCAGAGCTTAGGAAAAGAACCCTTTCATACCTTTTTATTTTAGTTACCTGTTACGTTTATTTAATGAAGTTATTAATATAAAAGTACATGAGTGTAAGAGAATATTAGGAGTAATTTGGCAAAGCCATGCTTTGGTTATTTCTATCACTTTGCATTTTACATATGTGTAAATATATATATTTGTGTTAAACTTTTTTTCAGTGATCTTTTTAAAATACAAGGATAAAATTTTTAGATACCAACTAATTAGTCTTTTACTTCTTACCCATTTATTTCTATTTAATTTCTTCTTTTTATTTGAAAATGCATATAAATTGTGTCACTCATGAATTTTCTGTTTGCTTTTGGTCATATGCTATTGGTCTATGTGCTATTGATCACTTTTCAAACTATTAAGGAACATCATTATCCTTAACTTAAATAAATATTTTCAATGTGTATGTTTTGTGTTTGAATATGTATTCTTATTTAAACACTCAAATGTTGAAAATAGTTATTGTACATAGATATTTAAAATTTTAGATAATTTGAAAGGTTTACTATATAACAACATATTTGTCACATTCCTAAATACCAGTTCACTTATGCAATAGGTAGTATTTATTTATTTTTTCTGGGCCAAATTTCTTATTTTTAATCAAATTTATTGGTTAATAAGATCATACAGGTTTAAAGTGATCTTATCTATATATGCAAAGTGTCCCCTTGGGAGTTCGACTGAGAGACCAGAAGTTCGATTACTTGCTATGATGTGTGCTGACTACCAGGGGGCGGCACGGAACGAAGGGAGGCCCTGGCCAGCAGCCAGAAGGCCCCGATTGGCCCTGATCTCCAGCCAGGCCTAGAGAATTTCGTGCACTGGGCCTCTAGTTGGTTAATAAGATCATATAGGTTTCATCTATATATTGCATTGTGTGCCTGCTACCCAAAGTCAAATAATTTTCTGTCACCATATATTTGGCCCTCTTTACCCTTTACTACCTCCCAGTCCTCTTCCCTCTGCTTACCTGTGTCTGAGTTTCAGTTTTATATCTCACAAGTAAGTTAAATCCTATGGTTCTTAGCTGTTTCTGACTGACTTATTTTGCTTAGCGTAATATTCTCAAGGTCTGTCCATGTGGTTGCAAATGGCAGTATTTCATCTTTTCTCATGGCTGAATAGCCGTGGTATTTGTTTAGAACCATAAGAGTTTCTAATCTACTCTAATTTTTGAGGCAGATACTCAGAGAAGAGTTTCTAGAAGTTCTTTAGCAATTTATTTTAATGTTTAACAACACTCTGTCAGCAAACTTTGATTATATTTTAATCTAAATTTCTTATGCTGCAACTTAAAGTCCACATGTCCTACCTCAGGGGAAATGGAGAACATCTGGGAATAATTCTTCATATACCTCAAGAATTGTAAAATCACTGCCTGCCACAATTTTCTTTTTGCCGAAGCCATTTATCTTGGTTCCTTTGTTTATTCAGTCTCAAGCTTTCCTTCAACTTCATTGTTCTCAGCGTCTTCTCTAGTCTCTTCCATTTCCTTTTTGGTTGTGGGAGTAGTTCTCAGTCTTCATTGTACACCGGGGTCACCCTGAAGCTCAGCTAAAATACAGACTGCCAGCCCACCCCACTCCATCCCACTCCATCCCATTTTCTGATCAATTGAACTTGGATAGAGTCTGAGAATTTGTGTTTTTGAACAAGTTTCTATGGGCTGTTGACTGTTTTTTTTCTTAGCATGGGAAGCATAGTTAGAAAACTGCTGTCCTGTGGAACCCCAGCTTAGTCGGCAATCTTGGACAACTGTGATGAGTGCAAAACCCTTTCCAGTAAAAGTAACTAATATCAAAGCAGTGTCTGCGGATCCCTGCACTACTACATTCAGGAAAAAGGGGAGGTTTCTGTCTTTGTGTTTTCCATTTCCTCTTTCTGCGTCTTTAGGGATTCTGAGAACCCACCGCTGCTCTATTCTCCTGGGGATCGTGAAGATAAGACTGCACTCTGCACCTTCCACTTTCTCAGAACAGTTTTTCCCTGAAAAAGTTTTACTTGTGGTCTTTGTAGAACTTTCTTTGAATTTAGCTAATAACAGTAAAAAACAACTTAACACCTTTGAATGTAGAACTTTCTGTGACAAATTTTATCTTTTAAAATATTAAGCTAAGTGACTTTAGCTTTTTACATAAAATGATAAGTTATAAACCCTTTTCACATGAAACAGATTGCGTTGGATAACCTCTTTCTGCTCTTCCTCTTGATTATATTTTTTCTTTCACTATCTACTTGTAACACCAAATATACTTCTCTTTGCAATATTAGTGGAGATGATTTGAAAAAACAATTTTAATAGAAATTGTAGAAGCTAATTCACAGAGATTGCTCATTTTATTTGCCTTTAGTTAAAACTCATATATTATATAAAAATATAACTATTTGAGGCCAAAGTAAATGTTTAAAGAATATATTTTGATGTGAATTGAACTATTTATGTTTCTTTGTAAAATAAGACATGTAGTAAAAGCTAACTTTATTTGAACCTTTATTGGAATGCTTATTAACCAGTATTTTGCCAAGTTAATGGTGATTGAGTCATTATAAAGACATGTCTTCAGCCACTAAATTATGTATATTGTAGTTCTCGTTTAAAATAAATTTTAAATTAAAAAATTAAATTTGTTTTAGTCTGTGCATAAGATATAGGGCAACATTTAATAAGCACAGTATTTGCATAAGTAATATGCCTATTCCTTAAACATGTCAGGTTTTTATATTGAAAATGAGAGAGAGAGAGAGAGAGAGAGAGAGAGAGGAAGGAAGGAACAAAGGAAGGAACGAGCTGGGTTACCTAGTGATGTTCCAGATAGATCATACTGGAAATTAACTTTCCAAAAACTAATGTAGACAGAAAACTTAAAATATGAGATAGACTAGTTGTCTCAGGAAGAAGAGGCATTGTTGTGATTTGTTTTAGATTATATGTGGAGGGGGAGGATAAAAGGATAGGAACTGGTAGTATAGCAGAAAGTTGAAGGTTTTGGCATCATTGGGCTGGACTTAAATCCGGATTTTCCTGCTTAGTAGTTTTTGTGACTTCTGGCAAGTTACTTAATCTTGTTAGATTTTTTGTTTTCTTATCATTCAAATGTTATGGCCCATTATGACACTGAAAAATGACATAGTAAATGTGCAATGCACATGGCAAGGATTGAGGATTATGAGCAGGTTAGGGTGAGACTTTTGTGCTGCAGATCTAAGAATGCATAAATCCTTATTACCTTGGTTGGGTGTCTTGTTATTGATAGATATCCAAGGAATTCAGTGAATGAAATAGGCAAATGGATGCTTAATTATTGACTGGATGTTGACCCCCACCCAAATGCAGAACTCTATTGCTGGATTTAAGTTCATCTGAGTATGATAAAATAAAAGCAGGCCAAAAGCCCCACTCTGCTTCTTCTACGAAGTTCCAAGCTGCCAGTGATAGTCCTTGCTAAGGTGGCCCCCACAATCACCAGATCTCAATCCAATTGAGCATTTGTGGGACGAAGTTAAAAGAGCCATCAGGCAGCTGGTTCCACAACCATCAAAGCTCACAGAACTGGACAGTGCTATTCATCAGGCATGGTGTCAGATTCCTCACATCACCTTTCAACATCTCGTGGAGTCAATGCCAAGAAAAATCGCCACAGTATTGAAGGCAAAAGGTGGCCCAACGAAGTACTGATGGGGTGGTCATAATAATCTGGCCACTCAGTGTATATTGATTTCAGAGAAGAAGGGAGAGAGTGAGAGATAGAAACATCAGTGAGGAGAGAGAATCATTGATTGGCTGCCTCCTGCATGCTCCACACTGGGGATTGAGCCTGTAATCCAAGCATGTACCCTGATCAGGAATTTATTTAATCCTGACCTCGTGGTTCATAGGTTGATGCTTAATCACTGAGCCACTCTGGCTGAGCTGATAGTACCATTTTTAGGGGAGAGAAAACTAGAGGAAAAGGTGAGGACTGGAGAACATTTGCCCCAATATTTAAGAACAAATACTTAGGAAGCAAGAGACAGGAAGAGGCTGTCTTAGGAGCTACCTCCATTAGTCTATGTGATCCCTTTGAAAGGGCCTTAGCATGTTTCTGCCAACCCTGTTGGAAGCTTATTCGTTAGGCCTCAGGGTCAGTGCAGTGTTCTGGAGAATCTCCAGGGTCGAGAGTAATTCTCCGTGGAGGAAAATTAAAGGAGTATAGAGAGGAGTCTCCAGACTTCTTCTCCTGAGTAGCCAAAAATAAATGCTCAAATGGTATGTGTTGTTTTTAATATAATTAATACAATGTGGTTGCCACAATTTTCAGCATTTAGAAATTTAAGAATGGAAAGGAAGAATGGAAAGCAGATAGATCTGCAATGAGGTAAGAAAGATTGTAGGGCTTGAGGCTCAGTAGTTAAGAGTCGACTTATGACCAAGGGGTCATGTTTTGATACCTGGTCAGGACATGTGCCCAGGTTGCCGGCTTGATCCCTAGTAGAGGCCATGCAGGAGGCAGCTGATCAGTGATTCTCTCTCATCACTGATGTTTCCAATTCTCTCTTCCTCTCTTTGTCTCTCTGAAATCAATAAAAATATATCTTAAAAAAGAAAAAAAGATTGTAGGTCTGTGGTTAGGAGAAAACAGTTAATCCTAGACACATTTAATTTACATCTCTCCTATTCAAAGGCAAACCTGGGGCCTTCAGAAGGGAATGGTCATC